CCTTCGTGTGATAACTTTTTAACCCTTTGATCTCTGCGTTCCTGGACAATTTTAACCCTTCTGCCTTCGCTCCTGAGTCAAAATTCACAAATAATTGGTATGTAATGTTTCACGGTAGATATAAAAATTGTTACAAGTGTTTACCCGCCGTTCAACCGGTGGCTGGGCAGTAAGTCATTTTTCTCTACTACCGGTAAAGCGGGTGTCAGGACTCAAAGAGTTAATATTGCCCAGCGATAATGAATAATAGGAAGAACATTGTTTTATTCTTGAAATAACACGAAGAGAAGTGAGAAACGGGTCGAATAAAGAAGTTGAGTTTACCATTTTGCTTTCTTATTATTTGTTTCTCATTCGAAACATTTCACCATTCACTAGTTTCACCTCTTGCGTTTACTTCCACACAAATGTCTTTGGGAAAGGCATGAAACCGTTTCTTCTCTCACCAGCTAATGGTTAAATAACAGAGGTAGATTGAACTCTCTAGCTTTTGATGGCAAACAGTCTAAGAGAAAAAATATTTGAATTCCAAACCGTGACGAAGTTAACAGGAAACCACTCCACTGTGCTTCCCAAGAATTCATGGTACTTCACTGATAGCAAAGAATCGAATGTTGTGGATATTCATGATAGCTTATCCCCTCAAGAAATGTCGCTTTAAAGAGAAGAGAATCGTTCTTATGTCCAACTGAGCTCTGTTCTTTGTTGCCACAAGTTCAGACCTTTGCAGTTAGGACACTCCATACTACATTCAAGGAGTCGAATCAGCTTCATTTCCGCTATATTCACATTTAATTGTACTCAGAGTTGTTCTCCTCCTATCAAGGCCAGAAAGTGTATGGTACGATTTTATACATGGGTGGAAGAGAAGATTTGGAGTCAACTTTTTCCATTACGTCATCTCTTATTAACCTGTAATCTATTCAAGCGGCTTCTTTCCCCCAAGAACTAATACTTTATGGAAAAGACTACCGCCTAGATGATTCCATGAACTCTACAAGTCAGGGATCAGTCGGTATCCATCTTATTTAGTCCCGTTTCCCGTTATCTTCACTTCCAACCACCCTTTTTCAGTAACTCTCTACCTCGTTTGCCTTCGAGCTTTGTATTGGGTGAGTTTTTACTATAGGAAAAAAGCTCATTCACAATCCTATAATTATGGTCTGGGAGTTGGGCTCCAAATAGCAGACACAAAATAAAAGAAAATATAATCCATCTATAATAGTAGAACATTTATTAGTTGGTGAGGTTTTTTTTTTTTTGGTTTTTTTTTTGCGAAGTAGTCGGTCTTGCTTTACTCAGATGAAATGGGATGCGAAACAGAACTGGTACACGGCCTACATCCAACTCTCATACATGGCTCCAAGAAGTCACACTGCGACTGTCACACCCCGGTCAACGGCATCGACCTGCCGGTAAAACTGTGTAAAGGTAGTCGGAAGGGTTTCCCGACCAAACCGATGAAGGGGAATGTTTCTCCCCAACCGGCCATCATCCAGTCGCCAACTTGATCGTATGAGCTGCGCCTCAGAGGTCAACGTGGGCGGAGAAACTTCTGAGAAGAGGAACGAGCTAACCTCAACATACCCGTTTGCAAGAGGAACAGGCATGTCATCGTACTTTTTTTGTCTTGAATGTCACCATGAACCACAATTACAACAGAAGGGGACGGTGACCACAGCGGCGGCGCAAATGCGATAACTGAATAAATGATGATTTTTTTGGTATTTTTTGTGTGGTGGCTGCGTTCATTGTGTTTATATAACTCTTTTTTAAAATGTTTTTTGCTAGTGATTTATCGTTTAGCTTAAGGAATTCTCCCTCTTTGCGCTGACATATGAAGAATTCTAATCCAATTGGGCAACAGTTGCACAGAGACGAATCTTGAGATATCTCGTATTTTTGAGGAGCCATGTTTCAAATTCGTATTTGTTCGGTGTCTCTCCCATAAATCGTTCGATTGTCAGACAATAAAACATTATATACTTTAAAAAATTATCTTTATTTTTCTGGACGACATTTTGTAATAAATGCATGATTAAAAAAGGTTGTTAATATCTTCAACGATTTCAAACGAAGCAGCTTTATAACAAGATATTTTTGTAAATTACACAAATTCTAATTCCTGTTCGAACAACTGAAATTCATTTTTTGTGTGTTCTTGATGTTACATCATAATATACATTAATTAGGAAAGATTGTTGAATTACCGTCTCCTGGTTGCGGTGACACTTTGGAATTATCGCCTCATGACGATTTACAGGCGGGACGATAATCGAAAGACTCGATCTCTTTCTCGGTGAATTTTCATAGCGAAAAGATATAATTCTTTTCGCTCTTGCAAAATATAAGTAATCAACTACAGACACTTAAAGTTGCTTTTCACATTTCATTTCATTTCTCATCTATTCTTTTGTAAAATGCCCTGACAATATATTTGTTATTATTTCTTTGTTCAAATTATATGTCTTATTATTCCTTTGGATTTATACGAATCCACCAAAATCGTTAGCGGGTCAAATGTACCAGGAAAATATAACTTCTCATCAAAAGCATATATACCGGCCACAAAACAGGCACGACGGAGTAATGGATAGCGATTCCAGTCGAATCCATTACCATCATTTACATGCTAATACGAATCCTCTTCTTCCCCGTCCCAGCTATGGGTAAATATCAGGACAGACTGGGTTCTATAGCTTTGGATGGCAACTGATCTACCGCAGAAAGAAATGGTAACCTACTGCTGGAAAAAATCTGCCTCGTCAGTCATGTATCAAAAGATACATGATTGCCTCACGCATGGCACGTAACTGACTGACAAAATAAAACACACAAAGCATATAGAATTGATTATAAACGGAAGTGTGTACTTGAACATACAGGTAAATAATGATCATATCTGTAATTTAGTCTATAAGGAAATATTGCTCGTGTCTATTCTTGAGCCTACGGGTAAATATTCATCATGTTTAAACCTTGAGTCGACTTGATTTTTCATTATGGATGTTCTCCATCAAGTCGTGGAACTTCTGACAAAGAGCACCTTTCGCAAAGTATTTTCAGTACCAAGCAAAATGTATATTTCTGAAGAGACGGGATACTAGACTTTATATTGATGTTCAATAGTATCTACCCTAACGCCTAAACTATAATTATAATAATAATTGCTGTTTGTTTTTGTCTTCTTGCTGCTGTTATTATTTATATCTTGTTGAAAATCCTTCTTTGCCCAACAGCGTTTCTTTATCGATTCGTCTTAGTCTTACAATCGTTTAATGATATTAATTCACGAGATTTCTTTCGTAACACGCTAATCTAGGGAGTGTGAAAAATGATTGACAGTGCCATACATTTGATAGATAATCCAAAGTATTGATTTTTTGTGACTTTGTTTGAAACAATTGTCCTTGGCGACATGGTTGCGAAATGCAAAACTAACCGACCTGTCATCGTTGATTTCCATTCCATATTCATATTTTTCCCCTTTCTATTATTCTCACGAATATATTTCTAGATGTATAAAATGCGAAAAGTCAATCGATTCTTTGGAATACTGAAGAACGCTACAGAAAGACTTGCTTCACTCAACTTAAAAGTCTCTTGGTGAAATATTGTTAAGTAAGTCGAGCACAGTAACTTTCAACTTTATAGACAGGGTGTCCATAAATTATCTGACTTTTAAAATCTTTTAAATGTTAAAGAATCCAGAATAAAGAAAATTTAAAGAATCGTCGGCACCCGCTCGCACCCGAGCATCGAGATCGCCATCGTCTTTCGTTATTCTCTTTCTCCTCTCCGGTGACGGTTACGGAAATGGCTGTGAAATCTCAGCCTACTCCTGAAGAATCGTGAGCAAGAGTCATCATTTAGCGCTTTTTGTGCCACTGTCGTCGCCACTCCCGTCGCCGTTGTCGTGAGAAGTTAAAATAGTGCAATGGTTTGCCGGTTCTTTTTGCATCGGGGATGTTATGATTACCCTATCTCTCATCTCAGTTCCGCCGCCCACCGTTGATCTCTCAGACGCACCACGCCTAGCCTGGCAAATGGCAGCTTGACACACCTGGGTTTTTTCAGCAATATCGTGGACAAAATTTCTCAAGATGCTTCCCTTTTAGGTCGCTTCAGGCACCAGATAATGACACTCTCTTGAAGGATAGGTACTGCGTGGACGGTGCTACCCTCACCCCTGGGTCTTGAGCATATTATTATTTTGAAGCTACTCCAGCCGAAGTCGGGGTTAGAGTTTCTCCAAACGAGAAATCGGCGATACAAATTCGAATACCGCTCTAGATTTTGGCATTTACTTTCGCACAGATGCCATTGAGAATACCCTTCTCTCGCAAAGTATAAGTTAAGTGGCACGATAAACTAAACTCTCTGGCCATAAATGGCAACCAGTATAGAAGAAACCCATCTTTGAATGATACGATAGAAAATAATCAGGAAACGTTTATAAATCTAACATGTTTCACTTTTATTAGAGAATGAAATATGGAGAAAAAGAATAAATTCTGTTATTTTTACTTTCGTATGGTTTGATTTTCATTGGTTAATCATGTTTCACGTGATTCAACTTGTTAAACAAACGTTGAAGCGACGACGCGTCCATTCGAAGTTTAAAGAAATGAACGAATTCCAAGCCGAACTGAAAATACGTTATCATCCTGTTGATTCTGATTCTGATCCATATTTGATCTGGATTTGATCCCAACTCAACTTTGAATTCAAAATCATATGTGGTTGGTTGGTTGTTTTTGTTTAGTGGCATATCAATCTCTATGGGTTGCTTAATGCCTAAATCTCAATATTTTGTAAATAATTTTTTTTGAGGAGATAATAATGGTTTTAGTGATACAAGTCTTACAAATTAACCCATAGCTAGGGGAAGAAGAGGCAGATTCATACCATTTCCTCAGGAAAATATAATGAACCCAACTAGACTTGGAACTCGGCTCTCCAATTAACAATTCCGAGCTATTATCACCCGTACCTCAAAGCTTACAGCCCCATGTATTCCCAAGCGGTCACACATCTAGCTACTGACCAGGCTCAACGTTGCTTAACTTCGGTTGTCGTACGACAACGGGTAAATCTATATGCGGTCATGGGTGCATACTTGAAGTAAGGTCTGCTCAGCCTAGTTACAGTATAAACAAATGCGAATGTTGAAGAGACAGAAATAGGTCTGAGCAGACGGACATGCTTGATAAACGAATAGCCATGTTAAAAATGTTGATAAGATAAGATCAATATATATATATATATATATATATATATATATATATATATATATATATATATGGATCTTTAAAAAAAGGATCATATTTTATTCATAAAAAATACAAAAGTATAACGACGAATAAAATTTTAGGTACCTTTCGGCCGACACATCTTTAGAAAAAAATAATATCGTTAACAAATAAAACTAAGTGTTTGAAAAGAAAAATTATTTTCAACAACTGTGTTAAAATATACCAAATCTAGAGGAGGGGACAAAAATTAATATTTTTCTAGTTAGGCGTTTAATTGGTAACCGGCTCCCCGAACAAGGCCAACTTATGTTGTAAGGACGTTGTATATTAATAACAACAGACTCCAAGATGTCAAGGTGGAGTCCGAGTCGTGTCCCGTGCAAGACTTCCAGAGAATAGTCCTTTCTGCAAGCAAAAGAATTTAATAAAAGATCGCCGATAGCGGAGTTATAAGCCTGTAAACACCCAGATGCTACAGACTCATGTGTGTGTGTGTGTGTGTGTGTGTAAGAGAGAGAGAGAGAGAGAGAGAGAGAGAGAGAGAGAGAGAGGGGTTTTTCAAAAGGTATGGGGACTGGTGCTATAAAAAAGAAAACTATAACATTTATCAATTCGGCATTTAATCTCCTTCGAAGTAGTTCTCATTTTGAAGTCATACACTTTATCCAGTGTTGTTTCAACTGATATATATATATATATATATATATATATATATATATATATATATATATATATATATATATATATTACAAAAAACATATAAGAATCGCTACACAATCGCAATAAATAGAAATCTTACAAATACGTCAGGGTCAAGATTTGACATCTAGCAGAAGCCAAACATTAACTTGATACAAATGGTTACAATAAATGTACACGTGCCAGTCAATTTTCATAAGAAATTAAAAGCGTTAGAGAGGTAATTTAACTGAATGCCCAACTAGTTATAAGCTTCGTGGATTTCCTACATAATCTTTTTTGTAGTTGATAAATAAGAGCCCTCTTTAAGAAACTAGTAAATAATCTAAATATATAGAATTATTTGATAAATAAATGAAACCGTTAAATAAATATAATCTATATCAAATATTAATTATATCAATCTGACAATGTAAAATGTCAAAAGTACTAAGTGCCAACACATTCGTATAAGTTAATAATACTACCAGGAGATCAATACAGAACTAAATTAAACTCAAATTAAATCTAAGAAAATTTCAAAGTTATTGATAAACATTTCCCTAAATGTAACCCTCTTAGGAAAATATTTAACAGAAACACATTAAACTAATTTATAGCTGCATCAATAATCTTGAGAAGATTATAAAGTTACGCAATAATGAGATTTTAAACCAATTCAATAATATGGAACATGATTTGGTTTGATTTGTTTTGTTTTACGGATACCAACCTCAATAGGTTATCTAATGCCGACAAGATTTTTATTGCAGGTAATATTTTCTTTTCCAAAAGTGTATTGCTGGTAATATATTTTTTCCAAAATGTATTGCTGGTATTAAAACCTATTTTTATACTTTCTTAGTGTTTTTACCACTTTTGGTGGGGTTAACTATTTGCCCATAGCTGGGACCCTGACAGGTGCTACCAACCCGGGTCAGGGTTGACCTGGGAACACCAGCAATTAAGAGGGGGTTCCATGCTCCTCAAAACCTCCTGATCAAAGGCTTTGCTGTCAGATGTAGTTTACCATCTTACACAGGATGCGGGTGTAGTTTATCATCATAATCAGGACGGGGATCATAATGCATGTCCAAGATAAATATTATTAATGATACAAGTCAATTTAATTGTAGGTATTCAGATCAATGTCCATTACTAAACAAATGTTGAACTAAATCTCTTGTTTACCTAAATGCTATCTCTACAATAGATAACCCGACGGCTGAAAAATTCTATACTGGTAGTACTAAGAATTCTATTAAGACTAGGTGGTATCAATATCTCTTGTCCTTCACCAATAATATTTATAGAAATAATAAATCATTTTCTAAGTATTTTGGAGTTTAAAAGATGATAATAAACTCCCAAGGTGAAAAAGAAAAATTTTAAAATGGCAAAGACATATAGATCCTTATATGAACCCTGTTTTCTGTGTTTGCATTAAAAATTGGAAATTATCAGGTTCTTCGATAAGAATTCTTTATTAAATGAAAGACCGAATTAACGGTAAATTGTAAACAGTCTACCTTTTACTTTACAATACATCTAAACTTTAGAATTTGACAATGTATTTTCTTAGATTTTAGTTGTACTGCATTGCACCATATATGGCTTATCTTTCTATTTGTATGATTAATATGGATTTAATTTCGTTTTGTATTGATCTCCTGGTAGTTTTATTAACATCTTATACGGCTGTATTGGTATTACGTAGTATTTTTGGCATTTTACATTGATTGGTTGTATTATTAACATCTTATATGAATGATATTTATTTAATGGTTGCATATTATTTACCAAATAATTCTGTATATTTAGATTATTTACTAGTTTCTTAAAGAGGCCTCTTATTTATCAACTAATTATGTAGGGAATCCACGAAGCTTATAATTATGTAGGAAATCCACGAAGCTTATAACTAGTTGGACATTCGGTTAAATTACCTCTCTACCCTCCCCCGCTTTTATTTCTTATGAAAACTGACTGACATGTGTAAATATATTGTAACCATCTGTATCAGTCTTTAAGTTAATGTCTGGATACTGTTTGATGACAAATCTTGACATTTCTAAGATAATAATTTCTAGTTTGAATTTAACGTAGATCATATTCAATTGGTTGATCAGTGTAAAGCTTTTGTTTGTCTTTTTTTTCCAAAATGAGGATATATTTTGTTTTTGAAACCAAATTAATCGTTCGCGTGTCAGTAATTTACAATCGCCTGAAGAGAGCATTATGTGTCGAAACACGACTGCAATTGTGTATTGATTCTTACACGTTTTTGTTGGAATATCCTAAAAATATATAATATTGCTCTACTATGTATTGAGCCCTCTTTTAAGTGTACTCTATTTGTTCTCATCGTACCTAGATAGAGATATAGATGTGTACGTATGTGTATGTGCTTATATAGATTTATAAATACATACATACATACATACATACATACATTGCATTTTACATATAGAGACTAGATTTACTCCATCTTATTATTGTTGCTTTTTATCCCAACACTCTGGTTCAATACACTCTTCATTACAGTATTTACATTAGTCGGACTATTGTCCTCATCTTTGTCGCCATATTTGTCACAACGTTTCGGCCGTTGTACGCTCCGGCCTTCTTCAGGTGGTTGGAATTTCGAACTGAACCCTTTATTTCGATCTAATTCCACGTGCCATGTTTGATGGATGTCAGTTATCAGTTATCTCCTGCTAATTTTCCCTCTGAAAGTTCTCCACTGCCTTAACCAGGAATTGAACTTTGAGTCTGTCACTGGATCTAACCAACGCCTTTATCCACTGTGCCATGTGTCCTTGAGGACATCTGGGTATGAACTTCTGAGTATTATAAACCTAATGTTTTCAGCATCATTTTTACCAGTGCTCATATTGCAATTTTGCTGTTATCATTGCATGTCTTTACCAGAGTTCATATTGCAACTTTGTTATCATTGCTTTTCTCTGGCACTCCTTATTACTGGTTCCCATATTGTATTTATTTCTATGCTTGGTCGGCTCAGGAGATTTTTGTGGCCTAGCATATGTGCTGATTCCTTAAGTTTACGAATTTTCCAATGGTGTTCCCTGTCTATGATCTCAACATGATCCCACAGGGGGAGGTGATCTCCCTTCTCTCTCCATATCATCTTACACCGAGAACTTTCAGAGGGAGAATTAGCAGGAGATAACTGATAACTGACATCCATCAAACATGGCACGTGGAATTAGAACAGTCTACCCCAGTGATCGAAATAAAGGGTTCAGTTCGAAATTCCAACCACCTGAAGAAGGCCAGAGAGTACAACGGCCGAAACGTTGTGACAAATATGGCGACAAAGATGAGGACAATAGTCCGACTAATGTAAATACTGTACATAATACCTCATCTCAGAAATATAGACAAACACTCTTCATTAGTACTATTATTTTATTTTTAATATTATTCAATGTTTGTTTTGTTGTTGTTTTTTTATCTCAAACACTCTGTCTCAATATACTCCTCATTATTACTATTATTTTATTACAAGCTTTACACTATTATTTGCTATTATTTTATTACTAGTTTTATTCTATTTTTATTGCGTTTTATCCCAGCTCTCGACTGTTGGCTTAAACTGCGTTTAAATAATGATTTTGCTTCCGTGAGAAGTTGGGCATGCAGTTCACCTCCCGATGTATTTTGCTGGAAGAGTTTGTCTTTTTTTTTCAGATCTTTTATATCTTTATTATTTTTAGTCGGGTTTAATGGTGAAGATATTTAATTTCTTAAACGTAGTCAATCATCGTAAAAATACATTTCATGACACATGGAGCCCACGAACATAGAAAGTGTCTCCAACTTTGAGCCGAGAATATTCACTCTGCATTTTTGGTAGTCAAGACTACGCTAGTGATTGTCATGGGAGTCAAAGCTAAATATTAACTTTATCAGATATCACTCGGATATCTTACAATTCTTTTTCTATAATTCTTTTTCTATATTCTTTTCTATAAGGCGTTCTTCCCAATATTGCAAAAAATAATCATATTGAGTTATATATGAAAAGAATTACTGAATATATTATTTGGCTATATATCTTAGGAATTTGCCAAGTTAAAATTGGTTTGGGAATATTGAACCGAAAAAGCAATAAATATTCGATTAAAAGCAATGATTGAGT